GGCTAATGTCAAAATCGTTCAACTTTTTTCCTAAATGCGATTCTAACGGGCTAGTCTCCTGCCCGCGTGATCTTGTCTTTTTGGTTCATGTATTTCGTTTTTGCTTTTACTGATTTGACAGCACACCAATAAAAAGCAAAAGCAAAATACATGTAAAATTTGGGGCGAATTAAGATTTGACATAACAGCCGCAATCAAGGTGTATTAAACAACAAGAATGATAGAATACAAGATTGCGCCGTCCTGGGCGTTGACATTTGTGTACCACAAGTAAACAAAGAATAGTGCGAAAAGAAGAACGAGTTGAGACTGCCAAAGCAGTTCATTTTACAGCGAAAAACGTGTTTTAATTTTGCTAAATGCGAAAATATTGCATTTTTCACCTAATCTATTAGAGAACAGTGAATATTTTAGTGCACTCCATTGCTTTGCAATTGAGGCTGCTTCAGTAAACGTTTTAGTGCACTCCATTGCTTTGCAATTAAGGCTGCTGCAGAAAACTGCGGCATCTCAGCGGGATTGATTGGTTAACTTGCTAATGGAGGCTGCTTGGAGCAGAAGCAAAATCATTGTGAGGAAAGGCTGTTAATGTAATAATAAAGAAACATTTTGAGAACGGCTTTGCCGTGCCCTATGTACACAAGATGCAGTGATTCGTTCCAGCGCTACACTAGCATCTACGCTTCTTGCATCTTGACGGCTGTCGCAATTTAACACACATCACTTCATTGTATTAGTTTTTACGCAGTCTTCAACTCAAAAATCACTCACAAATTGCAAATTAACACAATTTAAACTGATTTTTCACTTATAATTCAAATTTCTCTTTCGCTGATTTGTAAACAAAGGTTTATTTACAAGTTACCACAAGTGTCAAAATCGGCAAAACCAAAGTAGCGGTACCACTGACGGCGCCACCTTTGTTCGCTGCACCGTGATTAAACAAGGTGGTGTTGGGGCGACAGCTGAGTTTTTCGCCGTGGAGGCCATTACGAGGTGGTGTTGGGGCGACAGCTGGGTTTTTCGCCGTGGAGGCCATTACGTCAAAATGATGTGTTTGTTGTAATTCATACCAATGACAGTATGGACATCAGCGTATAATTTGTTAGTGTAATTTTTTACTTATATACGGTCAACACCACCTTGTTAAATACGCCTTGGCCGCAATACAAAATACATGGGATTGTTGTATTTGCTCTACCGCTACCACTTTGTATAAATTCGCTTTGGGTGGCTGCTACTCCACACAGTCCGGCAGAGTCGAGTTTAGCTAAATACTGAGAGAGATATTTATTACAAAGGGTACATCTTGTCCTTGCCAGAGTGCTCTATACTCTCCACCTCCTCTTCGCCACTGATACCACGCATTAACACTGTTTAAGCCAGTGAAAGCTTTTAATCGTTATTCGTCCCTGCAGCAACATCACGGCAGACACCTACCTGTGATGTGTATGCCAGAGAAGACTTTTTTTAAAATTAATTTTTCTATAAACAGTTATATTTGACCGCAATTTGTAATTCTATTATAAACATCTGAAATTTGTCTCAATAATTTAACCAAATGCAAAACTGTCCGTTGGGAGACCGACTACCAAGATGATCGGGTTGATCAGATTAAGGTGGAGGGCATTGTGAAGTTGTACTGTTATTAGCGTTTATCTAACAATCCAGTGATAAGAACACGAAGGATTTTGGCTAATCCGTCAAGTATTCAAGGTTACACAATGAACCAAAAATACAAGATCACGTAAGAACGCGACGTTGTATTTGTAACTGGTTTAGAGAAAAAAGTTTGTGAAAGCGGGTTCGTCAGCTGAGCGTTTGTTTACATCACAAGCACCACTATTTTACACTTTTATTTAAGTAAAGAAGAGTTAATTTATCATGACAACACATTTTCAAGCATTTTATTGCATCATTTTACCTAAATTGTGAGCTTAAAGTGGCTGACAATAATTTTGGCTTATTTTGGTTTTCGTTGTTGAAACAATATGGCGTAGAACCCGCTAAAAAAAAACCGACTTTTTTCACTCTCTTGTTCTTAAACTATGTTCACATATCAATATTATCTCAAGCAAAGCTCGTTTTTTAATCGCCCCGTTTACACAGGCAAATCTCAGATTATTAGCCGTTAAATTTGTTGTGTTTGTTATTCTCACATCTCAAGGAAAAGTTATGTTTCTTCTCTGTGCCACCGTGATCACGTTTTTCTGCTATAATAAGCAATATAAATATATTTTAACTTAACAATTATTAAAAATACCTTAACAAACCTCTTTTACTTGCTGGCGTACATTTTTGTTTACTTTTACATTTGGCATTTCTTCCCTTTTTCGCAAAAACAATCGATAAAACTAGGATGGACACCGAAAAGTTATCGGTTAAATCAGAGATTATTTTATAATTACAGATTAACAAGGGACGAATTTTATATGGCTAATCTCTTGTTATAATTACAGATTAGGGTGTTAAGCTCGAAAATGAGGATAATCTACTTATATGTGAACCTAGTATTACGTGATCTTGTGTCTTTCGTTCATGAAGGTTACACCATGAACCAAAAATGAGGTTATAGGCTGTTTTTGCTTACGCGTAAAAGCACATTTAGCGAATTTAGCTCTAAATGCTACTCTAAATGTACATTTATCCATACAAAATTCGTCACCTAAATGCAACTCCATTTTTGCATTAAGAATCTAAATGCTAAAAGCAACCCTGTGATCTTCCAAAATTTCCACGATTCGAACAT